TTTAGTACTTCAGTAAACTTTAGTTTAGTACTTCAGTACTTTAGTTTAGTACTTCAGTACTTTAGTTTAGTACTTCAGTACTTTAGTTTCTTCAGTACTTTAGTTTAGTACTTCAGTACTTTAGTTTAGTACTTGATACTTTAGTTCAGTACTTTAGTTTAGTACTTCAGTACTTTAGTTTAGTACTTCAGTACTTTAGTTTAGTACTTCAGTACTTTAGTTTAGTACTTCAGTACTTTAGTTTAGTACTTCAGTACTTTAGTTTAGTACTTCAGTACTTTAGTTCAGTACTTCAGTACTTTAGTTTAGTACTTCAGTACTTTAGTTTAGTACTTCAGTACTTTAGTTTAGTACTTCAGTACTCTAGTTTAGTACTTCAGTACTTTAGTTTAGTACTTCAGTACTTTAGTTTAGTACTTCAGTACTCTAGTTTAGTACTTCAGTACTTTAGTTTAGTACTTCAGTACTCTAGTTCAGTACTTCAGTACTTTAGTTTAGTACTTCAGTACTTTAGTTTAGTACTTCAGTACTTTAGTTTAGTACTTGAGTACTTTAGTTTAGTACTTCAGTACTCTAGTTTAGTACTTCAGTACTTTAGTTTAGTACTTCAGTACTCTAGTTCAGTACTTCAGTACTTTAGTTTAGTACTTCAGTACTTTAGTTCAGTACTTCAGTACTTTAGTTTAGTACTTCAGTACTTTAGTTTAGTACTTCAGTACTCTAGTTTAGTACTTCAGTACTTTAGTTTAGTACTTCAGTACTTTAGTTCAGTACTTCAGTACTTTAGTTTAGTACTTCAGTACTTTAGTTTAGTACTTCAGTACTTTAGTTTAGTACTTCAGTACTTTAGTTTAGTACTTCAGTACTTTAGTTTAGTACTTCAGTACTTTAGTTTAGTACTTCAGTACTTTAGTTTAGTACTTCAGTACTTTAGTTTAGTACTTCAGTACTTTAGTTTAGTACTTCAGTACTTTAGTTTAGTACTTCAGTACTTTAGTTAGTACTTCAGTACTTTAGTTTAGTACTTCAGTACTTTAGTTCAGTACTTCAGTACTTTAGTTCAGTACTTTAGTTTAATACTTCAGTACTTTAGTTTAGTACTTCAGTACTTTAGTTAGTACTTCAGTACTTTAGTTTAGTACTTCAGTACTTTAGTTCAGTACTTAAGTTTAGTACTTCAGTACTTTAGTTTAGTACTTCAGTACTTTAGTTCAGTACTTTAGTTTAGTACTTCAGTACTTTAGTTCAGTACTTCAGTACTTAAGTTTAGTACTTCAGTACTTTAGTTTAGTATTTCAGTACTTTAGTTCAGTATTTCAGTACTTTAGTTTAGTACTTCAGTACTTTAGTTTAGTATTTCAGTACTTTAGTTCAGTGTTTCAGTACTTTAGTTGGAAACTTCAGTACTGAATTCACCGACATGCAAATCTGGCTTTGTAAGTTCTCACGCAACATTCCAAATTTGGTAATATAATTGGGAATATTCCAAACAAACTTGGGAAATGTGCTTTGAAAAGTGACCTGAAATCGACTGTAAGAAATTGAAATATCTTCAAAGTACACGAGCGAAGTTCTAAAACAGAATATTTTGTCAATAATTTATGCATCACTCGTGGGTTTCATTCCGTGCTACGAATTTAAATTCGAACAATAGGCTACTTTCAATGGTTTGCGTTTTTTGGTACACCCTGTCTATGAAAATATTTTGTGTTCTAAAGAATGTATTATGTTCGGTTAGTTGATTTGATATTTATTTCATATTTTATGCTGATATATTGATATGAATGAGGATTCAAATATTACCATTGAAATAGTGAAAAAATACCTATTATTTATGAAATTGTGATATTTAACAATTATTAATTTCCTGTCGGTGAATATTCACCGATAATCCACGAAATTGTCAGTTTTAGTATAAATATACAGGTAATTTTTTGGGGAAAAAATTAACCAAAAAGCACAAGAAATATTTATTACTTTACAGTTCGCATGCGAAAGTATATTTCCTAAATAAACATTGCCCGGCATTGACGTTCCTTTCGTGTACAGTTGTGACAAACCTGCAGTGGACTTGTCACGAGTTCGCACTGCTTGTTCCAGACTTGTTGACAAGTTGTTACAAAGCTGCAGTAGACTTCCTTCAAGAATGTTGCAACAAGCCAATACGATGTTGTTTTTAGCACCGCTTGTTCCAGACTGGTTGACAAGTTGTTACAAACCTGAAGCAGACTAGCTGACAAGTTTTTTGACTCTACAAACTTTTGCTACATGTACAAGCTTGTTTTAACAACCTGTTAACATACAGTACAACCCCCATTAAGCGGCCACGCTAAATAGAGGTACACGCTAAAATAGACCCTGGGCGCGGTTTTATTTATAAATAACTGACTACTGTAATAAATAGACTTTAGAAATATCAAGTACTAGCTAACAAAGGAATTTTCAATAAGAAAGGAAGAAAACAAGAGAGCCATGCAATAAAGAGGGTACTAATACTGTGGCATTTGGACGCGCAAAACGGAAGAAAATAGACTTGGATCTAGATATCTAGTCCATATAGACTATATTTGCAAGTGTTAAAACATAAATTTAACTATGCTAAGCCAGTTATTAAGCATCACCACCATGACTGTTATTTTGAAATGGTGTTGCACCAAGTGAATCACGCTTGCTGGCCGCTTAATAGAGGTAACAATTGATAAAAAAAAACATCATTTGGGACCGCTCTCTTGGTAATAGAGGGATACTTTATAGTAATTATATTACAAATACTTTGGGACTTTGATATGCGGCCGCTTAATGGAAGGTGGCCGCTTAAAGGAGGGCCGCTTAATGGAGGGCCGCTTAATGGAGGTTCGACCAGGCGCGGCGTGGCCCACCGGTACACCGGGACGTTTCCCAGTGGACCCCAACCGATCCAACAATTGTGGGGCCCCTTGGACCACTACAATTGCACGTCAATCACATGTACATAAATGTTAATTAAAGGAATATCACATGTATGTTTGCATAATCACGTTGTATGAACTTGTACTTTCTGTCCAGTAGCATGCTCCCCCGAAAGTGGGCCCTTAAACTCTCCCGGCATCTATTTTGGAGCCACGCCGCGCCTGGGTTCGACTGTTATTACAATTCAAGAACTTGTTAACAGGTTGTAGCAACTTGTGAAAATAACAGCATCGTCGCAAACTTCCATTACGCATTTGGCGAATATTGCGTAAATTTCCGAGGTAGTTTTGCCAATCAGAGGCCATTATTTTAATAATCACCTGTGTATTTATACTGAACAAAAATGTAATATTAAAATATTACAGAATGTAACACCGCGGAAAAATGTACGCGCATGCGCAAAACCTGAGTACTTGACAAAGGTGATGGTGCATAGATTGATTACCGGCCTGATTCGTGCTTTTCCGGTCTGCGGCAAATGTTTAGAATTTTCCTGCTTCGCTGTGATTGGTCAATTTTATAAATTCGGAATAATTTCCACAGGCGAACGGCAGAAGAAATTTTTAGCCTTTGCAAGCTAAAATAACTCGGATTATTCGACAATAGCACTGTTAAATCACAGTTTAACAAGCTGATTTAAAAGAACTACGTTTGAATGTATACCAGTAGCGATGAAAACGAAATCTATACGATATTTAGCGTAGAAAATAATGTTGGCGGATCAACATTTTGTTCGTCGAGGTCGAAATTGACATCGGTTGACAACAGGATGTTGTGCATTACACAGTATTTTTTCACCTCAAACATCGTTCTAATATCTCAATTACGATCTTATTCGGTGGTTTACCTTTTGAAAATAATTGAGCATAAAGTATATGGACCACAATCGCTCAAGCTGAACAAAACAGGTACAGAAGCAAATTCGGGAGAGGCAAACATTTGCCGCAGACCGGGCTTTTATCTAAACAAAAACATGCTCTATTACAGTCTCCTTAGGAACCATCGAAACGGCGAAACCATATATCGTTAACGGTTTAAAAAATTTGTGGTAAATTCGTCATTTCCTGCCCCGCAAAATCTTTTATTATGTACCATGGCATGGTAGAAAACCCGGGTAGCGGATAACCGGATAACCGGATAATCGGATAACCGGATAACCGAATAGTATATAGAGATTTTTTCATGGGAAATACTTACGTGTGGTATTTACGCACGCGTTATAATCTGTTTTCGCAAATTAAACGAACGAGCGAGTGCAAAATTTGTTCTTCATAGACGATACAGAGTTTATTTATATTACACAGCGAAAAATATAAAGGTTTATATGTTTCATAAAGCGAGACAATCAGATAAACAAAGTCGTTGTTTCGTTTAGTACGAAAGTAGCGAACGACTTTTGAGCGATGAGAAACGAGATCACGAAGTTTACGGAAACGACTTTTGGGTGATGGAAAATATAAGGATATTTTGGACGCCATGTTTGATCGACTGTTTATATAACTTTTAGAAAGTGATTTTAGAGGCGATATTCAAGAATTTGTAGCCGTTAATTTGCGAGGAGACCACCGGGTAATTTATTGCATGTGACTTTACGTTTATCGGCATTATTTTTGTATTTTATATGTCTTTTTTATTGTAAAAGTATGTGTAATTTTGTATTGTTTAGATTTCGAAACTATTAAATGTACGTTGACATTCGTCGTTGTTTGTTTCTGGAATGGCGGTTAAAAAGGAAGAACGCGGCTAACAAAACAGTCGTGTCGTACAAAAATACATCGGAAAATACAAATTTTTCAGTATTAATGAACAGGAAAGGAAATATCAATTTATTATTA